GAAGACTAGTGATATGGCTGTAGCTGAATGTTTTCTATACTCCTACATTTGTTTCGTGCCCCATTTGTATATGTTATTGCCTGCTTGTAACAAAAGTGTTCTTGTATATTTTAAAGGGTGGGGTTGGTGTACTGAAAGTAATTACATGAAAAAAGCACAATCAAGCCTTCCCAAAGATGAGCTAATTTGCAGTCAGCTAGGAAAAGACCACATATTACATGGGAACTATTTCTATAAGCCACTTTCCCTGGCACATAGATATAAGATTATGTGCCCAGCAATCCAGTCATGCAAAAGGGCACTGGGAGTAATCGATTTGATCCGACACCTTTCAAGCCATGCAGCCTACCCCCATGAGCCGCTGGTTTGCACCAGCCGTTTGGATTGTGACTGATATGTCTGTTGTTTGGTTGATAGATATAGATACATTTTTAGTGCCTGATCAGAATGAGCACCAGTATTTTTTGTTCCATTCAGGAATTATATTAGAGATTAGAAAACCTTGAGGCCCAGTATTCAAGTCACCCTGATCATAGGCTAACAAGATTACATGTTGTGCTCTTACGTACACATAAAGGAATTTACGAACAAGCCTTGGCAGCTTGCACCCAGAGCATAGTGGACGTCTGTGAGGGTTTGCTTTCCATATGAGCAGAATCTGTCTCAGCAGTTTCTTAGCTTTTACTTCTCCCTTTTGTCTAGGTTTGGCTGTGAAAGAGCTGAAATGAACCAGTTGTCCCTGGAATTTGCCCCGTGGATTTGTAATAAAGGAGTGAACTGTTCTGCTTTCAGTGTGATATTTTATGAGGGGAGGTTATGTGGCTGTTACCTATGACACTTTGTTCCTGAGAAAGCTGTAGCTTGTTGTGAACTCCAGTCTGTTGCTTCAAGGAGCACCAGGAATTACTACCCAGAGAAGGGAGTTTTAGTGATCTCTAATCAACCATTTTTTATTTTGAAAGAGTTAATAGATCTACAGGAAAACACTATTGCTGGCATCCAATTGGCTCAAACCCCCATGCACAGCTCTGATAACATCAGCTGTGTCCACGCTGTTACCATTTCACAGGAATTAAACGCTTCCTGTTCCTTTTTTGCACCAGGTTCCAAGGATCTCTAGGGTATTCCTCATCCTTTGAAACCTTTGGGAGCTGCAGAACAGAGCAGGGGACCATTTAAAGCCAGGAAATCAAGTGGAACCCATTCTGCAGCTCCTGACCACTTCGTAGGACAAGAGAGATCCTTGGAACCAGGGGGTGGGAGGTGGTAAGAAGCTTTTTAATTTCCCTGAGGTGCCCATGACATGGTCACAAGTGATGACGTAATCGGAATTGTGTTGCATAACTTGTGCAACAGAATGTTGCCCTGTAGGTACTACCTAAAATCAGTACAACTCTGAAAATGTGCAGTACATTTGAGGCCTGAAAAGGAGAAACTTCCATTTTTGCTTTGCCCACTGACTTGGTTTTGTACAGTATTCAGAATGGAACCCTTCATGGCAAACAGCTGATCTCTCCTTAACTAGCCTGCCATGTTTCTGGACTGGCCTTTACTTCCTCTGCAACAAGAGGATAACAGCTGAGCTGGCTAAAAAGAAAGACAGACTTGCCCAGTGTTCAATAGCTCTCTTGCCTACTTTGTGGGAATTCTGTCCACCACCCTACAATTTCTGCTTCCAAAGAACATCCAATTTAAAGTTTTCAAGAGATGGAAAGTTTAGCTGGAATTTCTGGAAATGTTTAAATGGCACAGACAAAAATCTAAGAATGTCATTTTGAGAAGCATCATGGCTGACTTCCACACCCCATGTATGACCAGGGGCCCCATTTGTTGCAGCCTTCCATACTACTCTAAAAGGTAGTTCCCATGTATTTTTGGACAAGCTTCAAGGCCTGTAGAGGGAGAGGAGTGCCCTTTATCTCTAGTTTTAACGTAGAAGCACCTCCATCCAGCTAATGACAGTATTTACCTACCCTTTTGCAGATTATGCTTTAAGCTTCAAATCAACTGATAAAAAAAATGAACTTTCACTTACTACATTAGAATGAATGTAGATTCCCAGGAGATGCTTTGCACCTCATGGTGATTGGTTAAACTGCAGTACTGCAGCCAAAACTGCTCAGGACCCAGGTTCAGTCCAACTCAGCCTTCCATCCTTCCAAGGTCATTGAGTACCCAGCTTGCAGGGGGTAATGTGTAACCTGCATAATTGCACGCTGCCCAGAAAGTGTTTTAAGCACTATGGGCTGGTGTATATAAGCAGCACAGATTGTTTTTCCTTCTATGTAAACACCAAATCATGTACGTACGTGATTATGAATCCCCAAGACTGGTTTCAATACACAAGATTTACCAGTTGTACTCCCACACTTTTAATTTTGACACACACCTTCTCCAGTCTGAACTGGTAAATGTAAAATATGAAACAACCTACTGGTTGAAATGTAAAATCTTGTGATCAGAGTGTGATGCGACTTGCATAAATGCAATGAATTGCTAAATTTGAAGTAACAGCAAGTTACATATATATTCAGGTGTTTTTCTCTTTAGTTATTTTGTTGGACAAGATAGGTTGATTTGATTCCTTCAGTTAATCTCTGCAGGGAAATGAGAGAGGATATAGCAGGATGCATTTTTATTCTGCTTTGGTTCAAATGCTACCTTTGGGCATCCAAAGAAGCACTAATTATTTGAGCTAATGGCAAATTACGACTGTAGCCCTTTCCACTGCCTGCTAAATGTTGCACAGGCAAGCTGAATGTTATTCAAAAGCCTGCCTTTAGATGGTGCTGTAAGTTAAAAAATAAAAATGCATATTCTTGGTAGTAAAACAGCCTAGCAGCTTATTTTCATAACATCAAGATATGAGTACAGAATGATTCAGAAGCTCATCCAACCTATACCATACAGTCACCTGTCTCGTATAAATTCATAACTATTCAAGTCTATGGAGCGGCGACAAAGCTCATGGGTTAAAGATCCTTATTCTGGGGGTTTGCTCTGCCGAACACTGCAGAATAACTGGCTCTTTTTCATACCTTTTGAGGTCTCATTTTCAGAGGGCCATATTTAATGAAGTTGCATTATTCCTACTAAACTAGAGAAAGAAGGTGAGGCTTACCTTCTTTCCTGCCCTTGGAATTGTACTGGGTGACAGCCGGGAGAAGGATTAAGACTGTTTACAGACTGAATTACCCAGAGGTCACTACAGAGGTGAAAGAAAAGTCTGGGGTAAATTATTACCCAGGGCCTCTCTTTGGGTCAAACTACATTTCATGCAGAATTTGCCCTGTGAAGGTTTATTCTTTGTTTTTCTAAAAATTCATAACTGCAGTTGGGGTAGAATCAGGGTGGATTTGATTTAATTTTTAAAGATCAGATTTTATATATTTAAATCAAAAAAAGTTTTTTTTTTAAATTTAAATTATTATTTTAATCATTGACTTTTATACACCCTGGGTAGAATTAACCACATCTGGTCCTCTTAGGTCCAAGGAACCACCATAGAAGGGAGGCACTGTTCTTCACCTGCTATGCAAAACAATTTGAGGCTTGAGCAAAGTTAAGGACTTGTAATTGTGAAATAAATTGGTGGTGGTGGTTTAGTCGTTAAGTCGTGTTGGACTCTTTTTGGTGGTGGTTTAGTCGTGTTGGACTCTTCATAACCCCATAGACCAGAGCATGCCGGGCCCTCCTGTCTTCCACTGCCTCCCAAAGTTTGGTCAAATTCATGCTGGTAGCTGCGATGACACTGTCCAGCCATTGCATCCTCTGACATCCCCTTCTCCTCTTGCCTGCGTCCTCTGACGTCCCCTTCTCCTCTTGCCTTCACTCTTTGTAAACATCAGGGTCTTTTTCCAGGGAGTCTTCTCATGAGATGGCCAAAGTACTGGAGCCTCAGCTTCAGGATCTGTCCTTCCACTGAGCACTCAGGGTTGATTTCCTTCAGAATTGATAGGTTTGATCTCCTTGCTGTCCAGGGGACTCCAGCGCCACAATTCAAAAGCATCAATTCGGTCAGCCTTTAAATTGGTAGATATGCATAAACAAGTGGGAACTTGTGGTCTGTCCAGATGTTACAGGTGTATAATTCTGTTCCTGATTATTGGCCATGCTGGCTGGTTTTAATGGGAGTTGTAGTTCTTGATTCTCACCCTGACCTTTACTAATTTCTAGAATTACTACATTGATATTTGCAAATTTTTATGTATGCATACACAGGTCATACAATTTTCGGTGTCTACATACAAATGCCAGGAGTCAAACAAGAAGAACTAGACATCCTAGTTCAGGAGTATAAATTTGACTTGACAACTGAAATTTGGTGGGATGACTCCCATGACTGGTATATGGCAATTGAAGGATAATAATTATTTTTAAATGATAGAAAATGAGGTGGAGTAACACTACATATCAAAAACATATTCCTGCATAGAAATACAGGAGGATAAGCTTGATTATCCCATTGAGAGCATCTGAATTAGTATAACTGGGTCAAAACAACAACAACAAAAGGAACATAGTAGTTGGAGTCTTCCACCGACTGCCCGATCAAGAAGAAGTTGTGGATGAAACCTTAGAAAAACAAATTGCAAGAATTTCAAAGGGACAACATGTAGTAGTAAAGAGATTTATCCTGATATCTGTTGGGAGGCAAATTCTTCCAAATATGACCCTACTAAGAAATTCCTGGCTTGTGTAGCTGATAATTTTCTTCTACAGTGGTGCCTCACGAGACGAATTTAATTCGTTCCGTGGTTAATGTTTTGTGAAAATTTTGTCTTGTGAAACGTGTTTTCCCATAGGAATGCACTGAAATCTAATTAATACGTTCCTATGGGGGAGGAAGTCAGAACAAAGTCAAATTTGGTTTACAAAGGGTTTATTAAGTGCTCTTTACATACATATTGTGCAGATGATTTTAAAAATTTCAGTAAAAAAACTTTAACTTTTTAAACATCATAGAAAAACATTTTAAAATCAGCAAACACATGAGGCAGGAACAAAAAACGGAAAAGATTTGTCTTGCGAGGCACGGCCATAGGAACATTTGTCTTGCAAGTCATCAACCCCATTGCCAAAACTATTTGCCTTGTGAGGTTTTGTCCTGAGAGGCATTTGTCTTGTGAGGCACCACTGTACAAAAAAAGTGGAGGAAGAGGAGTAGCTATCCTTGATTCTACCTAATAGAGATGGTGGAACAAGGGGCAGTAAGAGAACTCTGGGGGAAAGTGACCGTGTTCTATTTGAGTTCTTGATTTCAAAGAACAGAGTGTAGCCATACATATGCACTCGATTTTAGGAAAGTCAGTTTTAATCAACTCAGAACAATGATAGGTAAAATCATGTGGCAGGAGATCCTAACAGGAAAAGGAGTTCACGACAGGTGAGCATTTCTTAAAAAAGAAATTCTAAAGGCAAAACTACAACTCTAACAAGAAAAAAATGGTGGAAGATAAGGATGGTGTTAGGAAGGCAAAAGCTGAGAATGAGCTGAGGTTAGAGAAAGATGCTAAAGGCAACAAAAAAGCATTCTTCACACATGCATAAAAAAGGCAAAGAAAATAAACAGTGGCTGAACTACTCAATAAGTATGGAAAAAATGGAAAAGACAGAAGTTCTTGATTCCTATTTCAGCTCGGTCTTTTCCCAAAAGACAGTCTATGACCCTCCAGGCAAATATGAAGTACAAGTGGAGAGGACAAGATTTCTGCCTGAGACTGATAAATAAGTAAAGGAATACCTTTTTACTTTGAATGACTTCAAATCCCCAGAGCTGGAGG